TAAGCTATTATTTATTATTATTATTTTAGTACGTTAATTAAATAAGAAATTTTATTGGATAAACTAAAAATTTGGCCAAATTTTTAACCTTTTTGTACTAAATGAAAATCCGTTTGTAATCTTCAATTATTTTTGAGTTATTTAATTACTCATGGAATTTTTTGAATGAAATATTTATTTTTTATTTTTATTACTTAATTTAATAATGAAAATTTTATCCATAATTCATTAAGATCATTTTAATATGGAAAAAACCGTTGTTAATTGTTACAAACCTTTTCATCCATAATATTTTATTTTATTACTTTAGTTTGTGATAGATTTAATGTCGATAAATTAAATTAATTATTACAATCAGAAAATTTTGACTTTGGAGTTCGATAGTAAAATTATTTGAAAATAAAATTCCTGAAATTCAGAAGCGTTTCCTAATGTGGGACCTTTCTCATTTCTTCTAAAATTAGAAAATTTATTTGACCCTTTGGCTATCTACTTGATGGGATGCACTAATTCTTTGTACTAATTCATTTATTTTCGCTTATATAGAGTGAAATGATGAAAGTGTGCAAGGTAAATTTGCTTGTAAAGCACAGCTTACATCCCTCTCACATCGTGAGGCCCCTCATATAAGAGGGTATACAACTTGTTGTACACAAGAATGTACAGCAAGCAGAGCCCAAGTGTGCAAGTAAATGTCTAGAATATATATGAAATCAAAACTAAAATAAAAGTCCTTTAGGTGATCAAATTGAAAAAATTAAATTGATATAGATTGAAGTTAGATGTCCAATGTGAAAAACATGTATTCGATGAAAAAATTCCATTAGAAAAAGCAACGATACAACAGGAGGTCACTCAAGTTTGAACAATTCTGTGCATATAGAACTGTTCCTGCACAGAAGAAAAATAGAAAACTCACATGGGGGTGGGCCCCATGTGAGTTTTATATTGAAAAAAAAATTAAAAAATCACCCACCCTATGCATGTGTGTGTTCTATATCTTTTCTATATTTCTCTCTTTTGTACGTGAAGAAGGGTTCCTCAAGTTTTCCAAAGTGATCATTTTCGTGCCTCAATTTTTTTCCTTACAATTTTACCCTTCAAGAGTTGAAAGGATTTCAGTTTGGTCACTACAAACTATTATATCCAAAAAATGCCTAATGTGGTCTACCAAATACGCACAAGGATAAGAATGACCGTAAATTGGATTATTAACACTCGAGTGTAGTCTCTACTTCCAATCGACATTTCACTTTGCGAATACGAGGTTGAAAGGTACCCATAAATGTTGAGCGAAACAATGTTTTTGCACAAAAGTGTAGTTTTAATCGTCCAATTAACGGCTATTCAGGTCAACATTTACATTCCATAAATCAGGTGGAGTTATTTTGTTTGGAATGATTTGGTAGGGTTCAAATTGAAATTGTTTCGAAACTATATAGGCCTTCTAGCACAAAATGTCCACAAAACCATTAGAATAAAACTATTGTACAATGATTGTTAACAACTTTTTGTTGAAAATTCACGTGTTTTCAAGATCCGTTTAGTTAATTAAAAGATATTTTTCGAATTGAACGGTATAGATTTTGACAATTGATGATTGTCAACTATAATTGTACATGGGTTATGCCGAAGGAAAAAGTAGGGATGTCAAGCTGATTGAACAGTTTGTTTGTTTGGCTCGTCAAAATGGGGCTCGTGGCCGGCTCGAGCTCGTAAAATTATGAGTCCGAGACCGAGCGGGCCTGGACGGGGGACGAGCCGAGCTCGCTTGGCTCCCCTACAGTGTGAGCTCACCCGCCAGCCACGAGCCGAGCCGAGCAACTTTTTCAAAAAAAGTGACAATTTTGATAACCTTTTCAATGACCGTTTGGATCACTGAATTTTTCAGTGACAATTTTGGTCGTTGGACTTTTTTATTATTTTTTTCCTCACTTTACTTCTATTATAAATACCCTCCTAACCCCCCATTTTTTTCATATCAAAACTCCATTCTCACTTTTCAACTCTCTCAACTCTCTTTATATCAATTATCAAATTTTTACTCTCTTGTGCTGTTGAGCAAAATATACAATATCGATTCATTTTTTATAGTTTATTCAGTTACAATTTCAATTTATCCAATTCTCAGTTCTTACTACGTTTATACTTTTACTAGTTATTATATTTGGATTCCATCACAAACAATCAAACAAATCAATCAACACTCATTTATTGAGAGCTTGTTCGATACGGGATGTGGGCCACATGGCAAATCACCTAGGACGTCGCAAAGTCAATTTCCAAATGAATTTGTTAGTTTAAATGATGTACCCATACCCGAAGATGTTCACATTCACGGTCATGGAAGTTACGATCTAATTGATTTGGATGATATTAACATTCTCGAAGCGAAACATAAGGACGAAAATGCCGAATTAAACATCTCAGATGCGAAGGGAAAGCAAAAGGGAAAAAGAAAAAGCAAAATGTTGAGATTACTTTAAGTTGATTTTAATGGGAAAAGTTGTCGATGGCCTCGCATAATCTAAGGCAGCATGTAAATACTGCCAACAAAGATTGGCATGGCAAAAAGAAATTGGTACCACTCATCTCAACCGTCGCTACAAAGCATGTGCGACCAGACATGGACTTCTTCCAGCTAATCAAATACAATTGCAATTTGGCAGTTCAGGCCCGATTATACGACTTCACCCCTATCCATGTAGGTGTATTCGGAGGACAATACTCAAATCGGAATGATGAAATTTGTTGCCGCAATTGAGTTGTCTCTGGCTATTGTCAACAACCAACACTTCGTCTCGTTTGTGAAAGAATATTTGCAACCAAGGTACATTGGGGTAAGTCCAAATACTCTTCGTGCCGATACAATACAATATTTCAAGATTCAAAACAACAATTAATTATGACTTTACAACAATATGGGGGTGTTATATCTTTAACTTCTGATATATGGAAAGTGGTTAATAAAAAATCATTTATAGTTGCAATTGCACACTATATAGATCTATTTTGGCGTATGCATAAAAAATTATTGTTTTTAGAATTATTGAATTTCCTCACAATGCTAATAATACATATAATGCTATTATCAATATTGTTAGAGAATATAATTGCGAGACTGAAATTCGTTCTTTTACTTTCGATAATGCTAGTGTTAATAAGGTAGTCGTCGATAAATTGTGTAGGGTACTTCAACCTGATTTCGGTGAGTATTTGTTTCATATTCATTGTATGTGCCATATTTTGAAATTAATTGTGTAAAATGGTTTAAAACATATAAATGATGAATTTCAAAGGATTAGGAACGTATGAGTATATATTACGATCTCTCCTAGTAGAAAACAAGTATTTGAATATTTTTGTCCTGAACTAGGGGTGACGATTACTAAAACACTTGTTAGCAACGTAAACCATAGATGAAATTCGATTCACTTGCTATTAAGGTCACGTGAATGTTCCAAATATTTAATAACTGACTTTTATAACAATAGACACGTTAGAAGCGATGACGATGGTATGTTGAATGAATTCGATTGGGTTTTAGTTTTGAAAGTTAATCGATTTTTGACATCTTTTTATGAGATCACAAAATTTTTATCGAAAGTTTATTATCCCACAAGCTGATTAGTGTTTAAACGCTTTTATATAATTGCAAGAACATTCCATAAATATAAAAATGATCCTGATTTTAGTGAAATTATAATTGTTATGGAATTAAACTTTAGAAAATATTGGGAGGAATGCCTATGTTATTTCCTTTAGCATGAGCAATGGACCTCGATATAATATATCGGGAACTAAATACGTAATTAATCAAATCAACAAAACCTTAATACTTAATACATCTATCACCTATACGAATTTAAAGCAAACATTATGTGGAATGTATGATTTATATGTGGAACGAATGAGTTCGAATGTTAGTCGAGTACCCTCTGCACCTACTCCTTCGGTTGAAATTGAAAAAGATGATGCCAAAATAATGAAATTATTTCAAGGCATGTGCAATGCAATGTGTTCATCTAGTGTCATGTCGTCTACACTTGCATCTTATCAAACATCGATCGCAACTTAAAATGCGATGCCTGTCAAATTAATTGATTATTTCAATCATAATATGCCAACAGACAAAACAATTAAAAAAAGTTCAAAAAAAGTAATTGAATTCTAGTGAATGTATGAAAGACGTTGCCCAATTGTTTCTGCAATTGCGAAAGATCTGCTAACACCTCCGGTTAGGATTGTTGCTTCGGAGTCTGCTTATAGTGCAGGTAAAAGGGTTTTGACCGATGTCAGGAGCCGACTGAAAGAAGGTATTTTGGAAGCGTTAATGTGCATGAAGGATTGTCAAGACAATCATTTTTTACTACAAGATAAATACGCTGAAATTACATGTCGTCAGGTAAATGATATTTGATTTAATTATATTAATCAAAATATTTTTTTTAATTGTTAAATTTAATTTTTTTTAAAATTGTGTACGTTACAATAAGTTGTTCGTGTTCAATTTTTAACTCCGCTTAATTAAAATTGATGTAGTTGGTCCCAAACTGGATAAAGGATGAGGATTTACATTATATCTACTTTGTAAAAAATCGAAAAAAAATGTATTTTATGTAAATGTATTTCAAAAAAAATATATTGTCTTCATCACATAAATATTTAATACTTTATAGAAAATATTACAATATGATAGGGAAAAAAGTGTATTCATTAAAATTTTTTTAAAAATGCATTAAATTATTTGTATTTTTTTAACACTTTTTATTTTTTTTTAAAAGTGTCTTTATTAAATTAGTTGTATTTTTCTGTATTTATAATTAAAAAATAAAAAATAAAAAAATAAATGAGCTCGCGAACCAAAGCTCGACTCAACCCACGAGCTCGGATGAGCCATGAGTTTGTGGGTCGAGCTAAGCTCACCCAAAATGAACAAATCGAGCTTGATCAACTCGGCCCACTGACATCACTAGAAAGAGGGGGGCTGTCGACTGAACCTCACCATAGGGAGGGTTCCACGCGAAAAAATGGACCCCAATCTACGGGTGGGGTTCGGACACCCTCTCCCGTTCGTTTAGCATAACCAATAGCATGGCCACATGGGTCAAACCATTAACCACTAACCAACAATCACCACAAAAGCGCCCGACTATCAGTGGTTGTGGGAGTTAGCCGGTGGAAGATGGCATTGGCTCCGGCTCCGGCTCCGCCCCCAGTTTTCTCATTACGACCGACAAATTTTACAAAATCAAGGCGGTGTTGCCGCTGCAGCTCTACAATCTCGAGGACTGACGGATCGTCATCTTCCCCTCCCACCAACACTTCCTCCACTCACCGCCCTGCTGTTATTCTTCCGGTTACTTTCTCTCTGTATTGATGTTGAATATTAATCGCAATGGTGCTGAAAATGTAGTTGCATCAATCACTAATTTTCTTGGAATTTTTCATGGCCAATATTTCTCCAACGGGGTTCTATTTTTACATTTCAACGGGGTTCTATTTTTACATTTTTTAGTGTTGACTTGTATCAATGTGGAACTATAGATTCTTTTCATTTTGGATATCGAATACATCTGACATTAAAAATTCTATGGGGAAATAAAATCGAAAAATTTAAACCTGATGCATGAAATCCACTTCTCGAGTCCTGTTCCATATGCTTAGCCACTGATTTATTGGTGGACAAAATTGTTAGCTCTTTCTTGCTCGAAATTCTCGGTTTTTCCTGCCGCAGTTTGAATCTATGGGCTTTCCTTTGAGCCTTTGCAGCAGTTCTCTAAAGTGTGCAGCATCAATCATGATAATCTCTGGTGCAAATATATGAATTATGCGAATTGTTGGCTCTGTGTATACTTGTGAATGGCTAGAGATGATGGAGTTGTGTGGAACCCAAGTCTGTTTTGCCATCACCCTTTCCAATTATGTGCATCTTTTGGTTTGATTATTGAATAAATTTTGTATCTATAGCTCAATTATGAATGTATATTGAATAAATAGTCTAATGCATCAACCAAAGTGGTTCATGAAGACGTGTATCCAATTTAGTCCTAAGTTAGTAAAGCTTCTTGCCGGTTATTTCTTTTAATGGATTTAAAAAATGCTATGTTGGCACCAGGGTTGTCCATGTAGGTGAGTCAGAGCTTAAAGATCAGGCCTTAGTACATGATTTTTAGCTTTCTTAGTTATTAGAATACTCCAAAAATGCAACATATAGACATTCTTCACAGTAGCCATCCTATTTTTTGCAGGGCTTAGGAAACAACACAACTGACTATCAGAAATTGACTCTTATCCTGAAAGAATATGGGGTTCCTACTGTGGTTGCAAAGGTCTCAAGAATTGATTGGTTGAGAAACGCTGCTGGCTTGCTGGACCCAAATTATTGGCGAGGCACTCTGCGGCCTCGGCCGGTTCTTGACTGGTATCAATTGTAAATCTTCATTGTGGTGGTCATTTATGTGCCTCAGTTATAAATTCAAAGTTTTTCATATTATTTTTGCATTTTATGTCAGGTATCTTAAGCGGGTCAATGAGGCAGTGAATGAAGCAAAGGAATTAGCTCAAGGTTTTTGTAATCTATTGCAACTTTCATACAAGTTTTCTTTGAATTTGATATATTTTACTGTTTAATTTTTATGATATGAAACGTCGCATATTTGGTTTGGTCATTGAGTTATTATGCCCAAATTCAAGTCGAGTCCTTTATATGGACTAGATATCTCTTGTTACTCTGATAGTCAGGCACTTCCTGTCATAGGTGCAAACATATCTTTGGTTGGGCACTCAGCAGGAGGATGGCTGGCACGTGTGTACTTACAAGAATTCGAGTCTTCAGATATTTCCTTGCTATTGACATTAGGAACCCCACATCTGTAAGTATCATTTCACAAGTATTTCTTCTCTTCAATTTATTTATTTATTTTTTCACTTTTACATCTGTTATATCGCGTGTTCGGTAGATTATTCTTAGTTAAACTTATTTATGGTTTACAAATTGTTTTTCATTTACAAGTGTATAACTGTCCAAAGTTTTCCTTGTCAGCCCCCCACCAAAAGGTGTATCAGGAGTAATAGATCAAACAAGAGGGCTCCTGGATTATGTTAAACAGCATTGTGCAAAAGCTGTTTATACTCCCGAACTAAGATATGTTTGCATAGCAGGAAGGTATACTTATAGATAACTCTTTGTTATTAGTGAAAATGCTCTAGTGATATCACTTACCAGTGGTTAGATCATAGAAAAAAAAGTTTACTTAACATTTCCTATAAAACATTCTCAATAAGATGACAAATTTTTCTTGTGTTGGATGACCAATTTGAGTACTTTTTGCAATATATAGTTATTTAAGCATTCAGCAAATGGTTATTTAGTGGGTAAAAAAATTAGGCCCTTGTTTTCATTTTCAACAGTGTTTTGATATCATTTCAATCATACATTCGTCAATAAAATAATATTACACGTAAATCCAAAACTTAACCTTATTTTTTAACCACACATTTTCCATCAATACGCTATTCAAAAATTCATTATTCCCCCAAAATGGGGCTCAAACAAGGGCTAGGTATGGGGTCTTAGAAGATAACTGTGAAGCCTACATGGTCGTAGCTCAAAATGTGCGCATTGTCAACATATAGCCATTTACTTATTATCATTGATTATTATTAATACTAAATGGGATGCTACTTGCCAAGTTTGAAAAAAATGGAGTTAATGACACCCAAAATTTGGCATATTTATAATCTTTACAAGTCTTATGCAGTATTTTCTAATTACCCTTTTCTAATTACCCCATAAGAGGAGATAGTATAAGTAAGAGGAATGCTGAGGAGATAGTATAAGTAAGAGGAATGCTATGGAGTGATGATTCAGGACAAGGAGAGTGCATTGTCAAAGCCTTTAAACCTTCTATACAAGATGTGTTAAACATAATTTCGGTTGGATTATAGTTGCAGCAGGTTCGAATACTGAAATTATTGAGTATTCCAATAATAAGTTTATCGCATCTTATTTACATTACTGTGCACAACGAGGTAAAAAAAAAAAAAAACCGTTTAAATCCATCATATTTTGATTGTAAGTAAAATTTTTTGTTTGCAGTAATTTGAGAATGTCAATTGAAGCAACTAGAATAATCTTGCAAAAAATCACTAAAAGTCCTTCGAACCTATAGAGAGGCTGTTATCTTAATTTCTAAGTACTAGGAATTAGGAAATGTCCATTTGTAAGTATTAGTTGGTTAGGATCTTATTTACAACACAACATTA